GGAATGTGGGAGATAATGGTGAGATAATGGTGAGAATGGTGGGAGATAATGGTGAGATAATGGTGAAGATAATGGGGGGTGGTGGGAGATAATGGTGGGAGATAATGGTGGGAGATAATGGTGGGAGATAATGGTGAGGAGATAATGGTGGGAAGATAATAGGAGATAATGGTAGGAGATAATGGTGGGAGATAATGGTAGGAGATAATGGTGGAATGTGGGAGATAATGGTGAGAATAATGGTGGAGATAATGGTGGGAGATAATGGTGGGAGATAATGGTGGGAGATACTGGTGGGAGATAATGGTGGGAGATAATGGTGGGAGATAATGTGTAGGAGATAATGGTGGGGAGATAATGGTAGGAGATAATGGTAGAGATAATGGTAGGAGATAATGTGGGAGATAATGGTGGGAGATACTGGTGGGAGATAATGGTGGGAGATAATGGTGGGAATACTGTGGGAGATAATGGTGGGAGATAGTAGGAGATAATGGTGGGAGATAATGGTAGGAGATAATGGTAGGAGATAATGGTGGGAGATAATGGTGGGAGATAATGGTGGGAGATAATGGTGGGAGATAATGGTGGGAGATAATGGTGGGAGATACTGGTGGAATAATGGTGGGAGATAATGTGGGAGATAATGGTGGGGAGATATGGTGGGAGATAATGGTGGGAGATAATGGTAGGAGATAATGGTGGGAATAATTGGGAGATAATGGTGAGATAATGGTGGGAATAATGGTGGGAGATACTGGTGGAATGGGAGATAATGGACGATGGGATGATAAATAAGAATAAGATGATAAAAATGAGTAGATAAGGAGACATGAGATTAAGAGACAGCAGAGGTGAATGTATCAGCAAGACTGAACAATGGCTGGGGTTTAGCTTGAGAGAGAGAGAGAGAGAGAGAGATATGTACTGGGGAAGATTTAGTTAACTTAGTGTGTGTGTGTGTGTGTGTGTGTGTGTGTGTGTGTGTGTGTGTGTGTGTGTGTGTGTGTGTGTGTGTGGTGTGTGTGTGTATGAGCAGTAACAAGACACAATAAACAGGCAACAAACTGATGTAAACATGTAAACAAAAAAGTGTCTACGTGAGAGATATTGTCAGATTTTTCTCCTCAGGTAAGACAGACAGGTAGAGAGCTGAGACTGGCAGAGAAAGAATAATAACTAAGAGAAGGATGATAGAGGGAAGAGGGTGAACAAATGGGGTTAAGGACGGACATACGTACATACATACATACATACATTCATACATACATACATACATACATATACATACATACATACATACATACATACATACATACAACAATACTACTACGTACATAATACATACATTATATACATACATACAATATAAATAAAAGAAAGATGTGATATGTAAAAAGCAATGGTGACCGAGAATGAGTGGTGATGGTGGTGATGGTGATAGGTGGTGGTGATGGTGGGTGGTGATGGTGGTGGTGATGGTGGTGGTGATGGTGGTGATGGTGGTGGTGGTGATGGTGGTGGTGGTGGGTGATGGGTGGTGGTGATGGGTGGTGGTGATGGGTGGTGGTGATGGTGGTGATGGGTGGTGGTGATGGTGTAAAAAAAACCACATCTATTGTATTGTTGTGTAAGAAAAATACCATAGTAAGATAGTTAGAATAAATGAATATAATGATGGTCTGATTGTGTGTGTGTGTGTGTGTGTGTGTGTGGTAGGAAGGAGATAATGGTAGAGACTAGTGGTAGGTAATAGGTCACACACACACACACACACACACACACAGTACATCATACAGGATAAGTGGTGGTAATATCACAAGCGATTATCGCCTGGTCCACCCACGCTGTCTGGCTGTTGGTGTGTTGGTGGAGAGAGAGAGAGAGAGAGAGAGAATATTAGCTTCATGGTCATTGAAAAGTGACTAAGGTGGAGTTATCGCAAGAGGCCAGCCATAACCTCTTGACCTGTGGCTTTTGGCCGTGAAAAAAGAGAGGAGGAGGAGGAGGAGAGGAGAGGAGAGAGGGAGGAGGAGGAAGAAGAGGAGAGGATGGAGAGGACAAGGGAGGAGGAGGAAAGGAGGAGAACAACAACAACCACCACTACAACTACAACAACAACAACAACAACAACAACAACAACAACGTCAACCATCATGAAGAAGAAATGGAAAAGAAAGAGACGAAAGAGAGAAAGAGAGAATAATGAATAAATAAAGACAATAACAAAACAATAAAGTACAGATATATGAGAGAGAAAGACAGAGAAAGAGACGAAAGAGGAAGCAGAAGAATCCCAATAAACCAGACACAGAGAGACAAAGAGAATAAACGAGACAGTATAGAAATATGACAATTAATGAGGCAATGAAACAGAAAACGAAAAGAGGAATTAAAAAGAAATTGAAAGAGGGAAGAGGAGGAGGGAAGAGGAGAAAGAGGAGGACAGTGGGAGTGAGATAGGGTAATAAAGAGGGAGATAGGGCAATAAAGAGAGATGGAGGAGAGGGGAGAGAGTAATAAAGGGTGGAGGAAAAATAACAGAACAGAGGAATAAGAGAAATGTGACAGAGGGAAGTGAAGCAAGGAGAGAGAGAGAGAGAGAGAGAGAGAGACAGAAAGACAGACAGACAGACAGACAGACAGACAGACAAGACAGACAGACAGACAGACAGACAGACAGGAACAGACAGACAGACAGACAGATAGACAGACAGATACACAGACAGACAGACAGACAGACAGACAGACAGACAAACACATAAACAGCCGTCAAGCGAATACCCTTGGGGAAAAAACACAAAAAAACACCAAAAAAGCAAAAGTTGGACAGTTAAAGAAAGGAAGGGGGAGAGAAAAAAAAGCGAAAGGGGTATAGAGAAGAAAGAAGCGAAAAGATGGTATTACACACACGGGGGGAAGAGAGAGCCGATAAAAATGTGGATTAAGGAGATAACGGAGGAGGGGGGAGGGAGAGGTGGGTGATGAAGTGCGGATGACGATGGATGAGAGAGAGAAGAGATGATGATGGGAGGAGGAGGAGAATGGTGGAGTGGGAAGAAAAGAGGAGGAGAATAGGAGGAGGAGTAATCACGCCAATAAAAAAAAAAAAAACCAACCCCAACCACACCAACACATAACATTATACCACACACACACAACACACACACACTATCAACCCACACCAACCACCACTACTCACCACTACTACCACTATCACCACTACTACCACTATCACCACCACTACACACTACTATCACCACTATCAATTAGCATCATGTCATTCCCTATTTAACTTAACCAATGGGAAGTAAACTAATGAAACACACGATACTGTTTACAATGTTATCAAGTGACGTCATTATTTCCTGAGAACCAATTAGGTGTTCTAAAATTGGTCTTATTGTGTTGACGTATTTGTGGGTGAAAGACTCTCTCTCCTCTCTCCTTATTTTCTATATAAGCCAGGGCGACTCTTTCCATTACAACTTGCAGTTCATACCGCCACTTTTCTTACTTTAACCAAATTTATACAGTAAGTCAGTTTGTGGGCGAGTGTGGCGGGCGTCCAGTTTAGTCCTGGAGTGACGGTTCTTTTCTGTGTTGTGGGAGCAAGAGCTGTGATAAGACCTTACTGCCTCCCTGCCTCACCTCTCAACACTCACCATGAATTATAAATTGTTTTCAGTCAATATTTCTTCTCCGTAATAGCATCCTAATAGCATAAAATATTAAGACTTATCGAATGAAAGTCAAACACTATTAAAATCCTCCCTCCCCCGACCCTCTTCCCCCGTGGCGACCATCTTGAAAATTTAGGCTAAGAACTTGAGGAAATATCTCGACTCGGAAGGAGCTTGGGAGGCTGTGTTAACTCCTAATTATAGAATATATGATTGAAATAAAGTTTATAAATTACCTTCCTCAAATAAAAACCAAAATTAATGGCTTCCATGACAATACATCAGAGGAAATGTGTGAACGTGCTTGAAAAAAAAGTACCTCCTTTTCCCTTGCAATCACAAAACAATAACTGTGATTTTTTTTATATAACTAACAATCACCGAAGTATTAAATAAAACAAAAGCAAACAGAGTGTTTTGTTTACATCGACCCACACAAATATATAAACAAACCCTAAGGTAGTAAATAATTCAACCTGAAGAGCGTCTCAGCTGAACACCTCAAAGCGAGCGGTCGGACATTTCCAGCACTTGCTTTAACTTGAGCTTCTTGCTCACTTGCTCACATTACCAAACTCTCTCTCTCTCTCTCTCTCTCTAATATAACCCGGAAAAGTTGTGTACCTCATTTATAATTTATTTCTTTCGTGTGAGCTAGTGAGTTAATGTTTACAAATGATTCGTTCACTAAGGCTGGTGATGGTGGTGCACTAATTGGTAATGTTTACAACTAGCACGAGGAATAGTTAATGTTTGCTAGTTACGTGTTTCAGTCGTTAGTTATTTAATGTTTGGGAAGTATGACATTAATATTTATCTCTACTCAGATGGGAAGTACCACACTAACCCGTCCTCCCTCCTCCAGATGGGAAGTACCACACTAACCCGTCACTTCTCTCCTCCAGATGGGAAGTACCACACTAACCCGTCACTTTCCCTCCTCCAGATGGGAAACCACACTAACCGTCACTTCCTCCTCCAGATGGGAACACCTCCAGATGGAACACTAACCGTCACTCCTCCTCCAGATGGGAAGTACCACACAACCTCCCCCTCCTCCAGATGGAATACATAACCCGCACCCCTCCCAGATGGAGTACACACTAACCCGTCACTTCCTCCTCCAGATGGAAGTACCACACTAACCGTCACTCCTCCTCCAGATGGGAAGTACCACACTAACCCGTACTCCCTCCTCCAGATGGGAAGTACCACACTAACCCGTCACTTCCTCCCTCCAGATGGGAGTACCACACTAACCCGTCACTTCCTCCTCCAGATGGGAAGTACCACACTAACCCGTCACTCCTCCTCCAGATGGGAAGTACCACATGACCAGTGACGGGGAGCTTCACGTGCTGGAGGTCAGTCCCCAGGATGGTCTCCAGGTTCCAGTGCCGCACCCTACACCAGCTGACAGGTCTGACCCAGCTGTCTCGCACACCTGCCCGGATCATTATTACAG